AGCACAAGTTCTAATCAATTATCACCGTTACAGAGATAAAGGCAGCAAACCTGCTGGGGCTTAATAGTGTTAGTTCTCACTTGTCGTTTTGGTGTTAGCTATCACAGTTCAGATATGAAAATCACATATGCTCCCAATTTAAAGTTATAAAACAATGAATTACAGAAAAATCATGTATGCGTGCTTGTGTGTATACACACACATTTTTCTACCCTAGAGAAATCTGTTTGCCATAGAATTCCTCAAGTCTGAAAGAAGACACCACTCCACGCTTCCTGAACCACCCCCTGCCTCACCCATGTATGCATACCCACTTGCACCAACACACACACACATACATATACACACAGGGATGCTCACAAATCCAAATCTACTGTTTTTTCTGTAATAATCTACCTTGTTAACTTCAGCTTTTCTTATTTCCTCTCTTGAGCTTTCTCTTGCTTGACTGTTTCCTGGTGTTTGGCTGGGTATTTAATTTGCTTCCATTCTTTCCTTTTTACTAGTGAAAGGGTTTGTGTTATGAATTTTCCTCTGGCCACTGCTTCAAATGTACCCAGGGCGCTTTATGTAGTGTTTCGATTATCTTTATAGATTCTGCAGTTTCGGTCTGTATTCCCTTGTTTCACCCACAAGTTGTCTAATAGAAGATTTTTTAAATATTTCCTGGTAGAAGGGAGTTTTAATTTTTTGCTTTGTTAATAATTGCTAGTTATATTGCATTGTAATCAGAGAATATTGCGGGTAATATTTCTGCGCTATAGAGCATTTTGATGTGTTCCTTCTGAGCTAGTGTATGGAAAACTTCACAAATGCTCCATAAGCACCTGAGAAAGAAGTGTATTTTCTACTACCAGAGCCTACCAGTTGGAATATGATGATAGCATCTCTTTTACTGATTATGTGATTCAGGTTTTCTGGCTCCTTAATTATTTTTGGTTTGTTCACTTGATCTGTTTTGTGTTTCTATGTATGTTCTATAGTTTATATTCATAAATTTCATATGATCATTTTGACTTGTGGCATTTAGCATTAAAAAGTATCTCTCATCAGTTTTATTGCTTTTTTGGCTTGAATATTGCTTTATTTGGTACTAAGTTCGAATATCTCCTTTCTTACTATTCTGTGGATTCAGTGAACCTTTGCCTATTTTATTTCTTTGTGTTTCTAGTGATTTTGCTTTAATTATGTCCCTTGTACATAGCATATGGCTATGTATTGCTTTGTAAACCAAAGTGAAAAGCACATTCTTTTAACAAGCCAATTCCCATTTTCAGACATGACTAGTATGTCTCAGTTCTGTTGGTCTCAATTCTGTCACAATGCTTTTAAAATTATGTATGTTAGGTCATACTTGCTAGGATTATTTCTTTACACAATGTGTATTATTTGCACAATGTGTAAAAATGATAACTGAGAAGAACTCTATTTTCATTTTAGTGATTACCTTTGCCTACATAAGAATCAATAAACTTATTCTTTCTACCTTCCCCTTCTCCATTCATATTTAATTGCTTTATTCTTGCTTTAGTAAAGAATACAATAGCTGTGCATTTGCCTTCAACTCACACTCATGCCACTGTTGTTTTTCCTTATTTATTTTTAATAAGTCTAATGTACTTTGATCTTTTGCCTGGTGGCCTTGAGTGATTTTTTTCTTTTTCTTGTTTTGTTTTTGTTTTGAAGTCTAATCATCTTACTAGGGTTTGCCTTGGAGACGATCATTCTGAGTTGATTTCCCAGATGTGCTGAATCATATTTTCTGATACGGGGATCACACTACATTTTGACTAGACTTATGCAGCTTTCTTTTGTTCCTTCTGTGGATCTTCAGTGGTTTGTAAGATGAATAGTTAGCAGGGCATATTCTCCTGTCAGTGTATCAACCTCTGGAGTCCTTAGTCAATCTGTGGCTTGTGTGTGTGGTTCAGGGAGGAACGGGTATCTTTCCCCTTTGCTTTCCTCTTCTCCCTCACATATGCCTTTCTCCTCCCCTGAACTTGTCGAGCACTATCACTTCTAGCAGTGCATCCTTGTAAATTCCTTCCCTACCATCCCTGCTCTGCCACACTGAGTCACATTGGTATTTGTCGACTAAGACTGGCTCAACTTCCCTCAGGTCACTAGCATCCTTCTAGTTTCTCCCCCGACTTTTTCTCAGACTGCTTGCTTGGTCTCAAAGGCTTGTGACCTGGTGGGAACATAAGAGATCAGGTACTGCTATTGGTGATTTTTTCTTCTCTTTTTCCTTATTGCTTGTTTTGTTTACAGTTATTCTAAAAGTAAGCCATACTCTATCTCCAAATACACTGAGTGAGTTATGTTTGCCTTTCTGTTTTCTTCTCTATTATTAGGTAGGAAATAGCTGAGGGACATGAACTCAAAAACTACTAGTTCTGCAGTACCCTATTGTCTTCTCTTTTCCATGAAAAAACAGAATTCAAACACTCTCCATAAGGAATAGCCAGAAGAAATCAGCCAAATGCTTTCCAGCCTGTGGTTAATTCTACTCCTGAGGCTTTATAGGGTACCAGTCTAACTAGGTTCAAGGTAAATTTTTCTTAAAGTTGCCCTTATTAAAAATGTCTTTATTTATGCCTTTAAAATACTTATTCTGCTGCAAGAGAGACTGTGGAGTCTTCAGAAAGCAGACTTTCTACTTTCAGTAGGCTTGAAGTCCCAGGATAAGTAACTCCGGACCTCCTAAATGTCTTTCTTATGAATAATAAGCACTTTGAGCAACAATAGTGTAGTTTCATTGTTGAAGCTAAAACCTAGAGGAGCCTCAGAGATGATTGGGTATGACTAGAAATTACAACTCCAGTGAATAAGACAACTTTTAAAAATTGTCAAAGATATTGGTCAAGTCATTATCAGAAGCCAACAATCCTGGCTCTCAGTTCTGTGCTATATATATATATTTTTTTATTTTTGGGTGGGTTTTTTTGCCTCCAATATGTGTTCATTTATTGTAGACTTACAAGAGAAATTGCCCACGTCTCTGCTACATCCTCCTCCAAAACAATCTTTTTTACAAACATTAAAACCAAATAAAAAAAGACAAGCTAATTTTAGGATAATTATTTTTCTTTGTAGCTCTCATAATTACTGAAGTTTAAATCTCTTACAAGTGACCAATGTCCAAGTGACTTATAGGAGGGTAAGGAAAATTCCACATTACAGTTTAGAAAATGCAAGTACAAAAAGAGTCCATATATTGGAATAGCCTTTCCTTTTCAAACTATGGAACATGTGAGTTCTTTATATATTTTGGAGATCAAACCCTTGTCCAATCTATCAATGACAAAGGTTTTCCCATATACTTGGTTCTCTTTTCATCTTAATGCTATTTTCTTTAGCCATGCAGAAGCTTTTTAATTTGATGAGGTCCCATTTGTTTATTCTTTACTTTATGTGCCTTGCTTTAGGGGACATATCAGTGAATATGTTACTGCATGAAATGTCTGAGATTTTCCTGCCGATATTTTCCTCTAGGACTTTTATGGTGTCACGACTTATATTTAAGTCTTTTATCCACCTTCAATTTATTTTTATGAGGTATAAGTTGGTGATCAAGTTTCTTTCTTTTTTTTTTTTTGCATGTCACTGTCCAGATCTCTCAACACCATTTGTTGAAGAGGCTATTTTTACTCCATTTTATGCTTCTTCCCCCTTGTTCAAATATTAATTGAGCATAGATACTTGGGTTTATTTCTGGGCTCTCTGTTCTGTTCCATTGGTCCATGTGTCTGTTTTTATGCCAGTACCAGACTGTTTTGATCACAGTGGCCTTGTAATACAGTTTGATATCAGGTATTATGATTCCCTTCTGCTTTGCTCTTCTTTCTCAAAATTGCTGCAGCTATTCAGGGTTCTTAATGGTTCCATATAAATTTCTGAAATGTTTGTTCTATTTCTGTGAAATAAGTCATTCGTACTTTAATAGGGATTGCACTAAATCTATAAATTGCTGTGGGTTGTATGGCCATTTTGATTATGTTAATTCTTCCAATCCAGGAGCATGGTACATGCTTCCATTTGTTTGTGTCTTCCTTCATTTCTTTCTTCAGTGTTGAATAGTTTTCTGAATACAGGTCTTTTACCTCCTTCATTAAGTTTACTCCTAAATATTTTTCTTGTTGCTCTATTAAATAGGATTTTTCCCCTAATTTCTGTTTCTGATATTTCTTTGGTGGTGTACAAAAATGCCTTGGATTTCTGAGTATTTACTTTGTATTCCACTGTTTTGCCAAATTCATCTATTAGGTCCAGCAGTTTTTTGGTAGAACCTTAGTGCACTGTTGGTGGGATTGCAGACTGATGCAGCCACTGTGGAAAACAGTATGGAATTTTCTCAGAAAACTAAAAATGAAACTGCCTTTTCATTTGACCAAGCAATTGGTCAAAACTGCCTTTTGACCAAGCAATTCAACTGCTGGGGTTATACCCTAAGAATGCCAAATCACCAATTCAAAATAACTTATTTACCCTTATGTTCATAGCAACACTACATACAATAGCCAAGAGCTGGAAGCAACCTAGGTGCCCATCAGTAAATGAGTGGATAAAAAAAACTGTGGCACACTTACACAATGGAATTCTACACAGCAGAGAAAAAGCAAGAGCTCCTACCCTTAACAACTACATGGATGGGACTGGAGAGCATTATGCTAAGTGAAATAAACCAGGTGGTAAGGGACAAATACCATATGATCTCACCTTTAACTGGAACATAATCAAACAAAAGAAAAAAGAAAACAAAACATGTCCAGAGACATTGAAATTAAGAACAATCTAACAATAGCCAGAGGGGAGGAGGGAGGGGACAGTGGGGAGAAGGATTTTCAGGAATTACTATAAAGGACACATGGACAAAACCAAGGGGGAGGGTGGAAGCAAGGGAGGGAGGTGGGTTTGGCTGAGGTGGCGGAGAGTGGTAGGGGAAAATGCAGACAACTGTAATTGAACAACAATATAGTAATTTAAATAAAAATAAAAATAAAACTATCAAATACTCCATAAGTTTGCTTGTTGTCCTTGCTCAGGGGACCATGTTAATCTTCTCTGTATCTTCCTACTTTAATACATATATGTGCAGCTGAAGCGAGCAATGGTGCTGGTTCTTATGCTCTAATGCTTAGCTTGTATGAGAAAATGCTTCAACAGAATCAAGAACTACATAGTCACTAGTACTAGTACTACATAGTACTTGAACCTAGACAGAAAACTGATTCTGTGTACTTCCTGCGTTACTTTTACAGCAAAAAGAGCTTCTAAATAGCACTGAGAACACAGATAATAGCAGTGCTTGTGCCTTCAGTTGGTAACAAACCAGTCAAAAACACATAAAATTGACCCCCACACCAAATAGTAAATATATGATTTCCAGCAAGTTTTATGTAATATTGGAAGTGATTATCAAACTATATTTTCACCTTTTGGACTCCATGAACTCAGGAACTAGATGAAGAACCATAAAGTCTATATTTAGATCCTTTAAAACTAGGACATTCTTTGATTTTCTGATAGTATATATCAAATCATCAATGTTATTCGATAGAAATCCAAGAACACCTACCTCATTATAAATGTGCTAATTGACGATTAGTAATTTAGATTCTGCTGTATTCATAAAGAACTCTTTTCATGCACAAAAATGTTTTGAAGGTAGAGTAAGGACTGGTTGGGATGGACTTTCCAGCCCTCAAACATTTTAGCTTCTTCTTAATATAGTCTTCAAATCTGAGATGGGATGAAAAGGTGGGTTTTGCTAGAGACACACACTTGTCACTACCACCACCTGTGGGCCTTACATGTATGGGTGCATACCACCTTGTCTTAAACAGAAAAAGGTAAGCCTTTCTATTTATAAGTTGGTTTCCACAGAACTAACATTTTCTCATGTTGTCAGCATTTAATTTTTCACCAGCGAAAACTTGTAAGTTTTCACGAGCAGTTGAGTGCAGCTGTGGCACTAACCCTGAATGAAGTATGACTCTCTTCTTAGAGCCTTTGGTACTGAAACAATGGCAAGAATTAAACCTTCACCACTGGCCCTTTTCCACAGTGAAGTTTCTCATTGCAAAGTCACCAAGAGCTTGTGACCTCTGAACCCAAAGATGATCAATTACCCAGCGTGCAGGAGTGGGATATAGGGAAGCAGCAGCATCATTTATCTGTCAGGCAGTTAACATCCTATCATAAGATGAAAAGCAATTTGCCCAATATTTCAACTGCCAGAGAGAATTCTTTATTAGCTTTTGGATAAGTTTGCCTTTCAACCAGATGATTTGAATGGCTTCTGTGGTAGGAGAGATGCTGCTCTCAGATAATGATTTTGCATTTCACCTCATCATTAATGCTTTGGACCTCAAGGGAAGTCACGGTGCCTTTTGTGAAGGTCGAAGCATTTTATAACCTTAATAAAGACTCATATAGCCTTGGGAACATCGAGTGTGAGCAAGGGTGGGAGAGTGACTGAATAAAAATGTAACTAAATTGTCACTTCCACTATACTGCTTGAATACCCAAAGGATTTCCATTGCAAATCAACAGTTAAAGAATACAATGGCACCCCAAACTTTGGTGTGACTCAAAAATGCATACACAGAAACTGCCATTATTCAAAGGAAAAATGAAAGAAATTAACTTTTTCCTCTCTCCAGAAAAGCTTTTTTTTTCTGTAATTTTTTATTTAATTGCCAAATGTTTCACATAGGTGCCACACAGAGGTACATTAATCAGCGACTTGAAAGATTTGAATTCAAAACAGTTAATAGTCATAGATTTGAATTCAAAACAGTTAATAGTCATGGTGGTTCTTCATTATTACAAATTTATTCCTACACATAATTTAGTTCACTGTATTTTGTAGTGTAAAATGAATACAAGAGAATAAGCAAAAGACATTATGAAAACTACATCACTGTCTCCATTTCCCAAATATAGGTCACTCTGTCCCAAATATTGCTAATTACTCAAAGCTTTCAATTACGTAATTAGGCTACTCTCCATTAAAATCACCCCAATGCAGTGAATGCAGTGAATTCTTTTTTAAATTTTCCTAGGTTTCTACTTCCTTCCTTCAAGCACAGTTCACCAGCCATACTGAGGTACCTAAGAACTAAGAAAAAACAAAACAAAAATAGGAGCTGCTATGCCAGGCATTGCGTAATATAATATCATCTCATCTTCTTTGACCTTCATAGAAACCTTTAGAGAAAGGCACATTATTCCTTTTTCCAGACTGTGGATCAGAGAGGTTAAGTAATTTTGCAAGGTCATATTCCTGATGAATTTTAGCGCTGAGCTGTGCTGACTTCATCCTGTCTTTCAAGTGCAGTAAACCACCCTTCCTAGTGCATCAATGACAGGGTGCAGGCCAGGAGGCCGGGGGAAGGAAGGCCTGAAGTGATTCTCAGACTGGTAATAAGCCTGACCGCAGGGCTCGTCCTCGGGGTGAGTACTGGGGAGCCTGACATGAGAGTAAGGCTCTTTCATGACCCTGAGGGAAGTAAGGCTCTGGTTTCTGTTAGTAGTTTGAAGTAGAAACTAAATAGCCTTGTAGACTGGCAACTGGCTACAAGGCCACGGGGTTTTCCAAGGAATTGTGCCATTACCTAGAGGAAAATTTTAAAATTTCAACTTTATTTGTCCATAACTCTATGAACTTGAGTTGTGTGATGGCGGGGTGTGCATATGTATTTTCATTTTATCACAAATATCCAGAAATGCTTGCCAAAAAGCAGGTCCTCAATACATAAAGGTGATCATGTTCAAGCTAGGCAGGGGACAAAAGTCAGGATTGGGGTTCAGTTCCCCATGTTAAACCAAAAGGCCTTATTTCTGGGTATATGTAGCACCCAGCAATTGGAACACATTAGTGCGTCCCAAAATTCCAGAATTTAAGAACAGTGCTCAGTGACTTTAACTCCTTCACTATAATCTGCTACACTGGTATACCCACTTTAAGGACAAGAGCTTCCCTTGAGGTGGCCAGACCTGCATTACACAGCACAAAGCCATTTGATTGTTTCGGGTTTGTTCAGTACATCCCTACAGTCTTTGCAACTTGTAGACACACGCACCATCAACCCAGACTTGGGTCACTCAATCCAATTCCAAGAAGCACCATATTTTAGCCCAGCCCTAATATGTCTTTATTCTTATTTTAACCTTCATTTATTCCTTTGTTCTCAGGTATTTATTAATACCACAGTGTACCAGGCAACGGGGATAAAATAGTTAGCTGAATAACCACCATGAAACACACCAGCTGGCAGGGAAAACAGGAAACTAAGCACAAACTTACATTGTAAAAGGCTTTCATAAGGAAGCATATGGAATGCTAGCAAACCACAGGCTTGGTATTCTCAGTAATTCTGCCTGAGGTCAGGGCATCCTGCTGGCATCTCCTCCCTTCATTCAAGTTTCCTGTTAGTAGATACAGTGAAGGTATGTTTTCAGGAAACCCAATCAGTGCTGGGTGTGTCACTCGAGTCTCAGCAGCAAGAACAGTCTTACTTCCTTTTTTCTTCTAATTCTTCCTGATAGTTTTATTTGGATATATATTGTGCAAGACTGAAATCATTAGTGAGTAAAAGAGAACAGATATAATGCAGTTCTCTGAGGAAGAGAGAAGAGAGAGAAAACCCTAAATGGTAAAAAAAAAAAAAAAATGTGTATGGCTTCAGTGGAATTGAAGGAATGTCCTTTTTATTGAATTTATTGGGGTGATGATGGTTAATAAAACCAGACAGGATTCAAGTGTACAACTCTGTAACCTGTCATCTGCATACTGCATCTTGCACTGACCACACAGTCAGGTCTCTTTCTGTAACCATTTATCCCCCCTTCACCCTCCTCCATGCCCCCTCTTCCTCTCTGACAATCACCATTCTGCTGTATGTAGGGATTTTTGCCTAATTTCTTCCCCCTTTTCACTCAGCCATCCCAACATCCTCCATTCTGAGAGCTGTTAATATGTTCTCTGCATCTAGGTATCGGATTCTATTTTGTGTTAGTTTATTTTGTTCACTAGATTCCACATTTAAGTTAAATCATGTGGTATATGTCTTTCTCTTACTGGCTTATTTTACTTAGCATAACGCTGTTGAGGTCCATTCATGCTGTTGCAAAGGGTAAGACTTTCTCCTTTTTTTGGCTGAGTAGCATTCTACTGTGTACCTCAGTTTTTTTATCCATTCAATTATTAACAGGCACTTGGGCTGCTTCCTAATCTTGGCTATGAACACAAGGGTGTTCACGGCTATGAACACAAGGATGCATATATTCTTTCAAATTAGTGTTTCGGGTTTCTTAAGATATATTCCCAGAAGTGTACTCACCAGGTCATAAAAAAGTTCCATTATTAATGTTTTGAGGAAACTCCATACTGTGTTCCATGTGGCTGCACCGACCTTCGTTCCCACCAACAGTGCACAAGCATTCCCTCTTCTCTACATCCTCGCCAACACCTGTTGTTTGTTGATTTATTGATGATAGCCATTTTGATATGAGGTGATCTCACTGTGGTTTTAATTTGCATTAAACTAAAAAGTTTCTGCACAGCAAAGGAAACCATCAGCAAAATAAGACACAATCCACCGAATGGGGGATATTTGACAATGATACATCTGATAAAATATTCATTTCCAAAATTTATAAAGAACTTATACAACACCTTTATTTCTGGTGTAGCCACTATGGAAAACAGGATGGAATCTCCTGTTTGCATAGTGTTTTAGACTGCCTTTTGATCCAGCAATTCCACTGCTGGCATTATACCCTAAGAGCCCTGAAATACTCATTCAAAAGAACCTATGCACCCCAATGTTCATAGCAGCACAATTTACAATAGCCAAGTGCTAGAAGCAATCTAGGTGACCATCAGTAAATGAATGGATCAAAAAACCGTGGTACAATTACACAATGGAATACTACACAGCAGAAAGAAAGAAGGAGCTCCTACCCTTAGCAACAGCATGGATGGAACTGGCATGAGTTATGCTAAGTGAAGTAAGCCAGACAGTGAAAGACAAATACAGTATGATTTCACCTACAAGAGGAACCTAATTAAAAAAAAAACAAGCAAGCAAACAAAA